TACTTTTAATAAAAGTTACTGGTCTCACGAAGGTCATAAAATTGGTGATCCGTTTGGGATCATATGGCTATTTACATATGCAAATTTTCAGGCAGCATAAAATATCAAGTGTATTAATGGTGAAATGGCCTGTGAACAGTTTGAGGAGGGCGTAGACATAATGGAATTAGAGAATCAATATAAAACGAAGTTGAAGAGAAATGTGAAGGAATGGAAAAGATATATACATTTTAAATTATAAAACTTAAACAGACATAGAGAAGCTGAGTTACTCAGTGGAATCAGATTCTGAAGAAATCAAATTTTTTGTACCCATTTGTGGTGTGTTCTCTCAGCTGGCAACAGTGGAGAGGAAGTTAACTGGAGAACTATAATATTCAGGGAACATGGTCTCACAACTGTCACACCCTCCTTAGGACCAAGGATGGGGCTTGTGTAGTTTTCAATAGGTTGGTCCGAGTAGTTTGAGGGTTACTGAACGGTTGGCGTTGAGAGTTGGTTGGAGACAGTGGAACCAGATGGATGTTACCTTTGCGCAGATAGTGAGGTACCTAGGGGTAGGGAGCAGTTCTATCCCAAAAAGGACGTTGCTGGAGCAGGCTCCAAGCAGTGAGGACTCAGATTCTTGGGAAACAATAGTTGCAGCTAAGTCTTGGGCTTAGGAAGAGCTGTCGGGGCTGAGAAGAAGCCTGTGAATAGCTAAGTCAGTGCAACTGAGTGGAGACACGAGGAAGCAGAATTTGCTTGTACAACTGAATGACTGAAGCTCAGAGAAAACCTGGGGTAGTACTAGCTTCACAAAACTATCTGTGATTAGGTTGAATTGCACCCATGCGTGTCCCAGGAACGGAGAGTAAATTACCTGGATATTATTCGCTGTTAGGGCAGTCCACGACAGAGCAGCTTTTCAGGATGTTCAGAGCTATGTCTGAGAAAGTGAACAATTGGAATCCCTTGTGAAGGTTTAATGAGATTTGGTGACCCAGAGTGTCACCAGTGTCTGCAGAGCTGCTGAAAAGTCTGTGAAGTCTGACTTGACTGCATTTGCTACTTAATGTGCTCTGTGGTGTGTTCGACCATGGTTTGTCTGAGACTGTAACACAAATTTGGCAGTCTGCTCCAGTATCGTAACCAAGACACACATCTTCACAAATGAAAGGAAATGCTGTAAAAAAAAAACTATGAGACCCCAGATTTTATAAACAGGGATAAACAGAGATTACAAAGTTAAAAAAGCCCTGCTAACCCTAAACTAATAATTGAAGGCTGCAGTTAGGTTATGTTATTTGGATGAACATTTGAAAAAGAAAAAAATTAAAAAGGATAGGAGAAAGGTAAGGGGAAGCAACTAAGTGAAAGCAACTAAGTGAAAAACTCATTTCAGAGAAAAATCACAGGCACAACTAATGGACCGACTTCCTTGCGTTGCAAAGTTCTATAATTCAAGGTGAGAATAAGTTCAGCCTGAAATGATCAAATTGGCAGAAAGAATGAGAAGAGTTGCAGGTGTTGAGAGAGAGAGAGAGACATTTGTCACTGTTCCATGTCTTCAAAGCATTACAAGCCGTGATGTCTATCTCAATATATGAGTCCGAATTACCTGCTACACAACTATCTTAGTCCTCAAAAGTTGATGAATAATTTGAGGCAGGCTCTTTTTTTAAAAAAAAAAAGTCTTGATGTATTTTTCTTTACATAAACCGGTGCACGTCTAATTTCATATTACTTCTGGCAGTTCAGCGCTTATTGAGTTTGAATAGGCCTCATTACATCAAAAAGTGTGCAGTGTCATCTTCAAACTACAGTACAATTCAAGTATTAATATCTCTCCCCAACACAAATGCTGCAAAATCACATTGGTGGAAAATTATTTTCTTGATACAGTATATATAGAGCTCGATTTCTCCAAGCTGTATTCCAGTATGAAAAACAAACGTACTGGTGTTAAAAATACTTGACACATCAACCAGGATATGGCTCACACCAAGGTGAAGATTGTAACAGTTGTTAAGTAAAAGATTTGCAGTTCAGAGTGGAATGGATCATGCACCACCTGTTAGGAGACATGTCTAGAGATCCTTACGGTGACAGAGTAGTGAAACGCACAGATATCCAAAAAAGCTTATTACAATAACAGTGGCAAAATTTGGAGAATTTAATTTTCACAGACTCAAAGGTGCAAAATAGCTCAAAGGCAACAAATTCATGCTGGCTTTCTGGAACAAGGGTAAGGGAACATCTAGCTAACACTGACAATATTAAATTCAATCCTGCTATGAAGTCGCACAGGGAAAGGGGGAAGTCACAAAGTAAGGTTTCAAAATTAGGCAAGGTGGAGTCTGGAACAGTGAGGCAGAAATCAATCACAATAGACTGGGAAGAACCACTAAGGAATCAAAATACAGATTAACAGTGGCAGATGTTGATCACTGACATCGGAGGCAAAAGGATTCAATAAGACACTATGTTTATTTTCCTATTGTAATGTAATTTCAGAAATGTCATTCTGTAAACAAAAAGTCTCTCTAAGGGAAACAGACAGGAACTGAGTACAGGAATGAGAAGAACAGACACAGAGTCCAAAGTGCCTACAGGACATAGTGTATGAGGGAATGGCTGCAGTAAAAGGGAGGAGGAAATGGTAATCGTTATTACACAGAAGGCTGAAACAGGAGGAGCAGTCATTGAGGCAAGGAGGAGAAAAGGGTTGTTTGAAGAAATGGAGGGAAAGGAGACAGAATGGAAGTCAGATTGTCGGATGAGGCGGATGTGCTGGGTCAGCAAGCCAAGGAGGGCATGTAATTCCCACTAACCCACCATAAATCTCCATCACGACATGCCAAACCACCAACAGCCACAACGAAAGAAGATGATAGAACCAGAAGCAATAACAATTAAGGAATTAAGAGATAGACAAAAAACGGAAGTAGAAAGACACCGGGAAAGCCACACATGGAAATAAGTAACAGAGTAGCTTTAATCAAAAAATTACAATGTGCTATGTCATAGAAACTAACCAGCAACATACTTTAAATCATACATCTGCATGTACTTCCTGACAACTATGTCATGAATGCAGATTTAGGAATCGATAATGAAAATGCTCTTAAGTGTAGAAGTACAGGCACACTGCAACAGGGGTAGGGCTATTCAGCCCTCTCAACACCATTACCTGCTGAAAATCCATCAATTTTCATCTTGAAAATAGAAATTGGCCCAAACCCCTTAGTAGTTTGGGGATTCTCACAAACTTTTCTTTGCTTCCTGATTTCATCCTGAACAGCCTATTTCTAATTAGTCCTGTTTGTTAGTGTGCTAACAATACCTCTCAAAAGCTAATGGATGAATTTCAACCAAAGCTAGTACACAAATCGCGTATAACCCAAGGAAGAACCAATCACTTTTTAGCAAAGATAAGGATCCGGATTTTGAAAGGTTTTTGAAAGGAATCATTAATATTGGGAGATTGGTTGAATGGAGTATTTTGTAAAAGAATGTCATGGATTAACTCTTCTCTGTTGCTTTGGTGCAATTTACCATATCTGTCAAAGGGTAAGTAGAGTTTTTAGATAAGGCTTTTGTACCTGTGTTGGCCTGAAGCCCCCTTGATGATTTATTTTTTTGACTTCACAGTTACACAGCACTATCCAGGCAGGGTAATGTTTCAAGGGAATAGACGCATAATTATGAATACTTCACACATCTGTCTTCACTTCGAAGGAAGAGGATGTAAGTACTGAATTCAGGAAGGTGGACTGTGTGCTTCTTAAGCAGTTTGATGGAGGAAATGAAGAGGTATTGGAGGTAAAGGCAGGCTTAAAAGTGGACAAATCTCCAAGGGAGGAGGAGTTGCATACCTGCTGTTGTGGGAGATGAAGGAGGAAATTACAGGGACACTGACCCAACTTTTTAATTCCTCTCTAGCCACAGGGGATGCTGGAGGACTAAAGTACAGCTCATGTTCCACTTTTCAAGAAGGGTGGTAGCAATGAACCAGGGAATTACACATCAGCGGTATGGAAATTATGGAGAAAATTCTCAAGGAGAGAATTAATCTCCACTTTGAGAGGGAAGGTTCGATCATGATAGTTAGCATGGCTTTGGCAGAGGAAGATAATGCCTAACGAATTTGGTCAAATTTTTCGAAGAGATGATCAGATATGTAAATGAAGGTAGTGCAGTTGATGTAGTTTATATGGATTTCATACAGGAGACTGAACAAGAAGGAAAACGCACATAGACTCAGGCTTAATAGTAGGATCCAAAACTGGCTTAATAGTAGGATACAGAGGGTGATGGTAGAAAGCTGTTTGTGCAACTGGAGGCCAGTGTCCAGTGGCATAGCACAGGGGTCAGTGCTGGCTCCTTTACGGTTTGTGATATATCCAAATAATACAGAAAAAAATGTGGGGGTGATGATAAGCAAGTGACATGAACATTGACTAGGTGGTTGACAGCAAGAAAGGAGATCTTAGATTACTGGAAGATATACACAGAATGGTCAGATGGGTAGATCAACGGTAGATGGAATTTAACTTGGGTAAGTGAAAGGTGATGCACTTTGGAAGAAGTAACAAGAAAAGGGAGTAACTCAGGTGAAAAGCAGAATGCTAGGAAGCTCAGGGTAACAGAAGGATCTTGAGATGCTTGTCCACAGATACCTGAAGGCAGCAGGTCAAGTGGGTGGTTAAGAAAGAATATAGGACACTTGCCTTTATCAGTCATGGTATAAACTATAAAAGCAGGAAGGTTATGTTGGAGCTGCACAGGACTTTGGTTAGGCCACAGCTGGAGTATTGTGTGCAGATCTGGTAACCGCACTCTAGGAAGATGTGATTGCACTGGAGAAGGCGCAGAGGAAATTCACCAGATGCTTCCTGGGATAGAAATAGATTTGGGTACTGGAAAATTGTCTAGTATTTTTCATTGAGTGCCTCCAAAGATTTTCATTGCCCTCAATGCACTAAATTTGTTGACTTTTAAATAGATTTATAGCTTACCTTCTTTCCCAAGAATTCATCCCCATGTCATTAAGAAATAGTCTGCAGTAGTAAAATTGTGCCCGAGGTTCATGATGAACAGATTCTTTTTGACTGGTCACACTCATGCAAAGATCTCTGCTCCACTTATGGATGTATTCCTCTTCACGATTGTTCTGTCTGGTTATAGCATCTATGATATTTCTTTCTTGGTCATGATTCATTCCAATTGGTAGTGGTGCTGGCTCACTGAGTCCCAGCTGTGGATGTGGTAGGCATTCTGGACTACTGTTACTTAAATTTTCAAGCAAATGATCAAGATCGTCATGCTCCATTTCAGGAGAAATGCAGTTTGAAATTAGTGGGTCAGACTGACCATCAGCAATGAAGGTAGTATTTGAATAAAATGTATTACAGTTTTTCACAGCAGTCAGCTGATTGCTGAAGGGGCCATGTAGAATCTGACCATCCCAAGAATACTTCCCAGAGATGTCACGCACAATTATCCTCACATCCGAGGCAGGAATGTTTGGTTCACTGTTGGAGATTTTTTCACGGAAAACTGCTTCTGTAGGAATCTGAAGGTAGGAAATTAGGGTGCTGTCATTAAGTACAAAAAGTTGCAAATTTGGGCTTTTGAAAACCTCAGCAGATAGGTCTGATGATTCAATATAGGGGTTGTCATGGTTCTCACTGATGAGGCTGTGAAGTACAGCAGGACCTCCACTGAGCGGATAATGACCTAGATGATTAATCAGGTGAGCCATTACCATGCGTGCTGTAAGAGGGATCCAATCCAAATTTCTTTTCTTCTTACCTGTGAAGAATGTTAATAAAGAACATATGTAAACTGCATCTATCGTTCAACGCTATTTGAAAAGATACTAAATCTGATATTCTTCCCCTCTCCTTTCCGTCATCACTGCAGGTATAGCACATTATGAAATGTATGGTTTCTATATTAGCAGGACTCCTGCACTTGATCGATCAGTCCCAGTATACCATAGTGTAGATTTGACTTCTAGGTGAGAATACAGATATTGTTCCAAACCTCAAAGAGCAGCAGCTCTAAATCAGTCCATCTGTCTGCTACCATATAAACAACAAACAGACAATGTCCAAACTCAAAAGACTGAAGGCGATTCTGAAAGTGAAACAAAGTGCACACGTTTGCAGATCTCCTTTGTCTTGCTGTGGGTCTCCACTATTTTCTTGATCTCAAATCTGCCCCCACATCGAAAATTCTGATCAGGAAGGCAGCACAATGTTAATGCTTTAATCTTCATATTGCAGTTTGTATTGCAGGACTACAAAAACCAGCTGTTGGGAATGCCCCTTCAGGGGTGAAAAGCCAACTACAGAAGTGGCAGTTAGGTGGTACATTTGGGCATCAAATAACTATTTCTTCACCATCTGTTAATACAATTCAGTATCATAATTTCCTGTTTTCTCAGTACATTTACTCAGACCAGGCATAAAGGAGCTGAATATATCAAAGCCAATAGGGCGCCATGCATGAAAAACATGATTTTCAGAGTGCCACCTGGGAACATAAATTTGCAGTAATTTGCGGTTATGTAAGACAGAACATGCCACATATACTTTTTATTTTAAGTTTAACAATTATGATTCACACAACCAATTTCTTCTCCTCATTCCTTGCTGCCCTGTACCTGCTAGCAACTAGCAACTGAAAGTCAGCTTAAACAAAATAATTTAGCTGTGTAATCTCATTAGGAGATCACACCTGTGAAAATGTCAATGGTTAACAATAGTGTTTGATATATTTGATCTGTCTAGACAAATCTCAAATTGGTAACTAGGATCTATGGTCATGTACAGTCAGAGTTTTACAGTATGGAAACAAGCCCTTCAGTTCATCATGTCATCAAGTTCCCATCAGCTCTACGCCCATTTTTCAACACTTGGCCCCTATTCTTGTATGCTATGGCGTTATAAATGCTCATCAAAATACTGCTTAAATGTTGCAAAGGTTCCCACCTCTGCACTTTTTAGGTCGTAGGTTCCAGAGACCCATGACTCACCATGAAGAAATTCTTCCTACCTCCTTTGCTCTAAGGAAAGCTACCGCAGTCAACGTAGTTTCTCTTCATAGCTGAAACACTCCAGCCCAGGCAACCACCTTGGTGAATCTCTTCAGTACCCTCTCTATTATGTAGTGACAACTGCACGCACTACTCCAGATGTGGATGAACTAACATCTTAGACAGCTCCATCATAACCTCAGTTCTGGTCTCCCTGTTACAGGAAGGATATTGTTAAACTGGAGAAGGCTCAGAAAAGATTTACCAGGATGTTGCCAGGAATGGAGGGTTTGAGTTATAAGGAGAGGCTGGATAGTCTGGAATTTTTTTCACTGGCGTATAGGAGGTTTTAGGTGACCTTACAGAGGTTTATAAAATATAATTAGGAGTATAGATAAGGTGAATGGCAGGCGTCTTTTCCCCAGGGTGGGGGATTTCAAGACCAGGGGCATATTTTTAAGGGGAGGAGAGAAAGATTTAAAAAAGACATGAGGGGCAATTTTTTTTTGTTTTTACACACAGAGTGGTTCGTTTGTGGAATGAGCTTCCAGAGGAAGTGGTAGATGTGGGTTACAATAGTTAAAAGACATTTAGGTACATGAATAAGAAATGTTTGGAGGGATACGGGACAGGAGCAGACAGACGACACTAGTCTAGTTTGGGATTATGGTCGGCATGGAGCGGTTGGACCAAAGGGTCTGTTTCCATGCTGTATGACACTATGACTCACTGCCCTTGTATTCAATGCCTCAACTAATAAAGAGGTCCCTCCAACTATCTGTATTTTCTGCAGTCCTGTCATTCAACATTTATTTCCTTGTTTTGTTAGTGCTCCCAAAATGCATCACCTTACACCTTTCCACATTAAATTCCATTTGCCACAATGCTGCTCATTTGACCAGCCTGTGTATATTGTCCTGTTATTTAATGGCTTTCCTCTTTACTATTTACCACACCACCAATTTTAACGTCCTCTGCAAACTTACAAAAACCTCCTACATTTGTATCTAGATCAGCGATATACACCACAGCACTGAAAACTGCGGTACCCTACTAGACACAAAAACCGTTCAACCATCACACTCTGCCTCTTGCCACAAAGTCAATTTTGGTTCCAATTTGCCAAAATGCCCTGGATCCCATAGGCTCTTAGCTTCTTAACGAATTTCCCCATGTGACGCTTTGTCAAAAGCCTTACTGAAGTCCCATAGGCCACATCAACTGCACTACCCTCATCTACCCATCTGGTCACCACCTCCAAAATAAACTCGATCACCGTGCCAGGCTGACTATCCTTGACTAATCCTTGTCCCTCCTAATAGAGATTAATTCTCATCTTCAGAACTTTTTCCAATAGTTTCCCCCACCACTAATGTCAACTCATAAGCCTATAACTTACTGATTTATCCCTACCACCCTTCCTGAATAATGGTATTACATTAGCTGTCCTTCAGTTCTCTGGTAGCTGTCCTGTGGCTAGACAGGGTTTGAAAGTTAGCATCAGGGACCTTGTGATCTTCTCCCCGGTATCCCAGGATGCTGTGGGAGACATCTTATTTGGGACTGGGGTTGAACCCAATTCTAAACCTGCAAAAATCATTTATACTTTCTCTCTCAAATTATAACTTGTTCAGGTTTATCAGAATCCACTTCCCTGAGTTCTTTACCTACATCCTCCTTCTCCACAGTAAATACAGATGGAAAGTACTCATTTTAAAACTCACTTCTCAGCTCAATACAGAATTTGGTTTTTGTTGTAAACTTATATGGTCCAAATTCTGATCAAAATATGTCCAGTACTAGCATGTACTCACATCTTCTGTGTTACTTTTCCTCCAAATCGATGATGGTAATAATAAAATACTTATTTTAATAATATACTTATTTTAATAATATAAATTGACTGTGCAGTGTAATATGTTTATGCAGTGTAAAACATACCCTCAGATTCTATGTATAAATTAACTATTTTTGAAGATTATAAGAAATGTGTTTACGTTTATTCATTATTACTATGTTGAATATATTTACAAAAGAATTAATTACCATGTTTGGCTATACAGTATAGCTGCCTTTAAACGTAACTTTGAGAGCTTGGCAATCATAAAAAATACAAACTGAAATTTTCCAACTAGTGTTGTATGACTTGTATTATTTAACAAAGTTAATGCTGGCACTGAAAGAAGGCTAAATGAAAATTCTAGGCCATATAGTCATGAGCACTTATTGAGTTAAAAGTAAACAAGGTCTGTCGCTGTGTGGCTGCCAAACCATTGAATACATTCATATATTAATACCCACGGAAAGAAGGTTTGTAAAACAGCTCTTAATTCTCAAGAGCTTCTAGTCTGAAATTGCACTAATGTGTGCTATTCAGGAAACAAAACCATTTTAAATGTGAAATACTTACTTTCAGTGATAGTAAGAAGGCTGCCAAAATCCTTAGGGACATATGAATGAGCAGCTTCAGAATTCTTGACATTTCCCAATGTCAAAAATGGATCATATTCTGTGGAGGAGACATCAGCAAGAGTCAGCAGGTATTGGCTTTGTTGGGTGAAGAGGTGAGAGCCATAAACACAGGAATGCAACACCTGTAAAACATAAGACAACATACAGGTACAACAAATCTCATTAATAGTTACTTCATGATTTGCTTCATAAAGAAAACTTCACAAGCTCTATGACATGGTGGCTCACTATTAATTCATTTAGCAAACAGCACACAATAAAAAAAAAAAACACCATTTCTCTTTTCTGTCAGTCAATCTCATGTTGTTCTGCTCCTTCAGGAGCTAATTAAAACCAAAGCTAATGTATAGTGACTAATCATTGCTTAGTCTGCATCTAGTAATTATGAGGTTCTGCCGTAGCTTTTACAAGCATGTGAACAATGCAAAGTTCATCCTTAATTAAATAAAAACGAGTTGGGTTCTTACTGCGGCAGCTGGTGGAATACTATAAAAAAAACGTACAAGCTGCCTTTTGCCTTCATGAATAGTGTCAATTTACTACTCATTACTTTGAAAAGGCAGGTCATACAAGTGCTTTAAGGCTCTGGATTAAAATTAGATTCAAGACATGTTTTAATATTGTGCTGGATTTTCCACAAATTTAAATATTAGAACGATCTTGACTAAGCTAGAAAAAATATGCAAGATTTTTGAAACAAAATGTGTCATGAATGAAGCATTATTAAAAATTTCAGCAACTAGTTCTGTAGAGACATCTATACTTATTGGGACTCTCATGATACAATCCTTCCATTGCTGAGTTGTGGGTCTAAATTCAACTAAGCAAATGGAACACAAGACTTCTCCCTAAGGTGTAGGCTAAAAAATGCCAAGAGAATGCAAAACTCTTCCGATTCAAGTTAGCACTAAAATTAGAAATTTACAATCAAAAGATAAATACAGTAAAAAATGAACAAATGACAGACTTGGCGATGATCAGCGATATGGCAATCTTCCCACTATCAGATTTCGTTTATACTCTCTTGACTAAACTTCTAATGAATCATGTTCCAGCCTCTGCTAAACCTCAGGGTCTCCTGTAATTTCAGGCACTGCTATTCTCCACTGTCAGCCTCTGATGAATTCCTTCCATTTCCAGATTTATATTTCCAGAATGAAAAGTAGATAGTTTCATGATGGATTAAATCCCCATTACTTAATTTTTCTTTTTAAGCATATATTTTTGTAATAAAAAGCATTTTATAAAATATAAAATGTTTCATAAAATGTCTGAAGACATGTCAGAAAATAAAATCAAAAAAACATTACCATTGTGGCTTTTGCAATAACACAAGCACCAGAAGAACCAATTTAAGTTTTTAAGTTGAAAAGCAAAACTATTTTTATGCAGTATGCAGTTAGGACTGCAAAAGCTCTTTGGGAAAGCTTTCTTGGAGTCACATTCAATCTTGCCTCACAAACAGTACTGGAGAGAGGAAAAAAGTGCAGACCAGGGTGGCAAGGGTGTCAGACTTGGCTGACATGGTCCTAATCGGTTTCTTCTGTGTCATAACCATTCTGATTTTGATTCAGTGCTTCGAAAGCTTGTGATTTCAAATAAACCTGCTAGCCTATAACCCGGTGTTGTGTGACTTCTGGCCTGATTCTATTTTGTATGATTAGGCCTGAATTTAATGGGTGCAGAAACATTAAATCTATACTTTGCAATCATCTTTCAAACCATGCTTGTTGAGCCAACCCCTCAGCTTATAAATCCCTGGTGTTCTTAGTCTCTTTTTCCAGCCTCAGATTCTTAATTGCTTACTCCTCCTCACTTTAACTCGATTTCTCCTGCATGCTCAGTTCTGAAGGAGTGGATGAAACAGTCTAGAAGTGAATTGAAGGTGAGAATGAGAGGTCATGACTTGAAAGGGGGCCATACTATGTTTCAAAGGAGATTGAATGTAATTTATTAAGGTGTGCAAAGGTTGAACATTCAAGTTTAATTCCAGGTCTGAATGTGTTCAAAGAAGAATAAAATAATAAACATACAAAACTGACATGCATTTGAGGATGCGATATTGATTGGTCAATCTAGGGGGAATGGAGAAGCTGACATGGGATTGTTGTAATGGCCAGGAGGGAACCTTACTTACTACATATTGCAAATCAACAACTCAACACTGTATTGCCCGTATAATACCTAAGTATATGCACATTAGCTTTTATTTAGGCCTAGCAACCCTCTTTAGCAAAGGAGACAAACAGCAGTCCAAAATTTATTTTTAAATCAATTTGCTTCAGCATGTATTGATCCACTTCCATGATAGGTGGTACTTGATCCGCATCCTCCGGGGAGGCAATGGCTTCGTGGCATAATCACTGAACTGTTAATCCATAGGCCCAGATAATGTTCTGGCGACCCGGGTTCAAATCCTGCCATGGCAGATGGTGGAATTTGGATTCAACAAATGTGTGGAATTCAGAATCTAATGATGACTGTGAATCCGTTGCCGATTGTCAGGAAAAACCCACCTGGTTCACTAATGTCCTTTAGGGAAGGAAATTGCCATCCTTACCTGGTCTAGCCTACATATGACTCCAGACCCACAACAATGTGGTTGACTCTTAACTGCCCTCTAGGCAATTAGAGGTGGGCAATAAATGCTGCCTAGCCAGCGATGCCCTCATCCCGTGCATGAATAAAGGACTTCCCTTTACCATGGAACTGTTTTTGGTTAAACATACTTTTGCTTCTTCCATTTCTAAAACAAATATTATAACCACTAATCTTTGCAGTAAATTATTCTTCAAAATTAAGTTCTAAAGTGCAGCTAATAATTAGTTCAATAATTATACACTTGAGGTTCACATTTCAAAAGCCAGCATGAACTGCTGCTTCAGGAGCTCTTGTGGCATAGTGGTAATGTCACTACCTCTGGGCTAGAGGATTCAGATCAAGTATCACCTATCATGGAGGTGGATCATAACGTGCTCAAACAAATTGATTTTAAAAATAATTTTTGGACTACTGTTTGTCAACTTAGCTAAAGAGGGTTGCTAGGCCGAAATAAAATCTATAACACGCATCGCACAGAAGATAATGCGAGAGACAATTTAAGAATATGGCTAAAGAAAGTTGGAATTCTGTTCAATCTAGAACAAATGCCCACTTTGCTGTAACTTGCAACAGAATTACACTGCCGCAATAATGAGATATAACTGCAATTTACTGACACCAATTTGTAAACAGGAGTTCAAAAATAAAATTTTGTATTTTTATACAGCACTTTTTTTTTTTAAATGAGACCTAATGAAGTACACTTGAAATGTAATTACTGTTGGAATGCAGAAAACACACAGCCCTAAAACAGTAGTATTACAAATAACAGAGTGGAGCTGGAGGAACACAGCAAGCTAGGCAACATCAGAGGAGCAGGAAAGTTGGTGTTTCAGGTCAGGACCCTTCTTCAGATACGGAGGAGGGGGAAGGGACCTTTCCCCAGCCCCAACCTTCCTCCCTCTATTTATTTCAGAGCTCCCCCATTTCTGAAAAAGGGTCCTAACCCGAAACATCAACTTTCCTGGTCCTCTGATGCTACCTGGCCTGCTGTGCTCCTCCAGCTCCACTCTGTGTTGTCTCTGACTCCAGCATCGGCAGTTCTTACTATCTGAGTAATATTAGGATGCCTGGAGCAGCAATGCTAATAACAGCATAATGCTGCTTAGATTGATTTATAATAAAAAGGTATTTTTAAGTCTTTAGTTTTGGTGATGTCAACTACTACCGACAATAATCAAAAATGCTCTTTTACATAACAACGGCCCAGATCTTCATAATAAGAATGGACAACAAGTGGGACATTGGCCCTGGGGACTGGGATCGGAGGGGTTTAAGTCCTAGGGATGACAGTGTCGGATTTGGGGGACCCTAGTAGGAGCAAAATGTGTTGGCTGTACATTCTGCGTATCAGGGAAGGGCATTGGGTTTGGTGCGGGAAGGGGGTGTCAGTTTAATATTCTCCCAGCAATCATTGTAGATTTTAATTCCACTAACTATTCCTATGTAATTGTTAGGCTAAGTCAGCCAGAACCCTTCAAAGTCTCTGATTCTAACCCAGAATTGGGAATTGTTTCAGAGTCTTCCAAAGCCTGGTAATTGCCCAGGTGAAGCTCCGACATACAGGTCATTCATGGGGAGTCAGGTGCATTGGTGCCTCAGCACAGGCTGCAGCAACAACCATCTTCCCATTAGAAAATAATCTTTTTTTCCCTCCTATTTTTGTACTCTACTTGTTTGACAGTACTCCATGTTAATTGCAATTTTCCTTGCTGTCTGCGCTCAATTCAAACCAACCATTGGTGGAGACTAAGTACCTTTATACAACAACTGTTGAAAATCTGAATTGCAAGGCTGGTCATACAGTCTTGCTGTGTTAGTGGGACTGCATTATATAAACTGTGTATACAAAGTCAGTGAGTTGATCCATGTATCCAAAATCCACTAATTTAGATGAATTCATTGTCCTCACTACACACGAGCCCTTAAGATCTTTCTGAGATAATCTCAATGGTGAGTTGCAACATCAAGATTAGTGTTCAAGCTGTTGTTTAATTATCTGTAAGCCTTTTCAAAGACGGGTGGGAAGAAATAAGTCATAACTAAAGCAAAAGAAAGGCAGTGGTGCAGCGGTAATGTCACTGGACTAGTGATCCACAGTGCCAAAGCATTGTTCTGGGAAGATGGGTCTGAATCTGAACACAGCAGATTAAGCAATCTGAAGTCAATTAAAATCTGGAGCTAAAAGCTAATCTAATGCCGACCATGTAACCATCATCAAACGCTGTACATGCCCATCCGGTTCACAAATGAGAAGGAAATCTGCCCATATGCAATTCTAGATCCACTTCAATGTGGCCCTTGGAAATGGGCAAGCCACTTAAATACTGGCCCAGCTAGCAACACACCCACATCACTTGAACAAATCAAGTGTTTGTGGACAAGAGGCAACTGGCAAAAGCTGGCATGCTGATGCTAATGCGCACACAGAATTTACATTTATCTTGGGAAACCAGATATCATGATGACAGTATAGGATGCTAATTTGGCATTGGTTGTGCCATTCTGGAGCTCATCATTCCAGCTAACACTCTCTTCATCTCTTACAGTTGGCAACATGTTCAATAGCTTTAGACTAGTTGCTCTATTCTTGCTACAAGTTTACAAGTGTCTGGTGATTCTTATTGTTGTTTTCAGTTGCAAAAACCTTGAGAGAGTCGTGTGACAGGTGCTGAAAGAGATTTTGCTGAATTCAAAGGGTCTTCCCAGACATGGGTGCACTAGTAGAAACTCCCCTTCTACAAGAACATAACTTAAATGAAGAGGCCATGCAGAAATCAATAAATTACTGAATGGCAGAGGGTGGAGAAGAAGGAGATGGAACGACAAAGACTCTCCACAGGAGGATATAAACACTCGGTGTTCATGGTGTAATTCTCAAGCTCAGGTAGACACAAATGTGAGAGATGTCTGTAATTTGGCAATAGTGATTTCACCATGATTTCCACAGCCACAATTGTAAAGTCACGATAAGACAGATACCATTTTGCCAGTGTCATGAAAGTGCGGGGGTGGGGAGAAGAGCGAGAGAAAATTCAATATAAAATATAGTGAAAAGAGTGTATTGTCACTATGCATGGCACCATTCACACTAACTCAAATTAAAATAAAAAATAAAGATAGATAACTTAAAGAGAGTCCAACTTTTCTTTCTCCACTGCTACAGCCCCGCTCCGGACTTCCCAGCCCATGCAATGCCATGCCACTGCCAGTCTCTGCTCTGGGCTACACCAGCCCATGCCATGCTGCTGCCAGGGGCCCACTCCACATGGAAGCAAGAGTCCAGACTTCACAGGCAGGCCGATTCTGCAGCTGTGCTACCTCGGAAGACGCCAGTGCTCCGCAGCTAGTCAAAGTTGTCTTCCTGCAGAAGAACTCTCTTTATCAGGTAAGTTTGAATGAAAACTAAATAAAACTGAGAAAAGAAGAAGGGAAGAAGGGAAACAAAAATAGAAAAAGCGGACAAAGAGGACAAACCCAGGCACAGGTGTCTGGAAACTGTCTATTCCGCCGCCATCTTGATTTAACTAGTAACGACACATGTTGATGGCTTATGATCATTTATCTGCAGGTAGAATTTATTCATTGTAATATATTGTAATTCTTGTTAAGTAGAGAATTCTGTCCATGCTGTCAACCTTGGTCTAGAATACAGGTAAATTGGGGAACTTTGCAAACTTTTCAAAATCCTTCATTTTTGTGACACTGCTGGGAATAGCAGTGCTTGACTTGCAGTTTGCTACCCCAGTGAGGCATAACAATTTTGCGAAGTAGTACGCTAAATAAAAGACCAAAGAACTGCAGATGTTGGAAATCAGAAACAAATTCAACATTGCTGGAAATACACAGGTTACCGAAACATTAACTCTACTTTCTTTCCACAGATGCTGATAGACCTACAGAGCTTTCCCAACTATTTCTGATTTTGTTGCAAAGTGTTAGCATATTTATATCTTAAATAAATCATGAAAAGAAGACAATGTAATCAAGTCATGATCATAATTTGTTAGAGTGATTTACTATTATACATGCTGTTCATGAAATCCTTTAATACAAGGCATTTTTCAATAATCTCTCAATTTTGTCAGTGAACGAAATGGCTTCAAGCAGTATAAGTTCTAAACTTATTTCAATTAGACAGTAAAGACATACATACCCTGTAGACATAGTCTAGTAAAGGTGCTTTGCGTGCCATTTGGTCTTCCATCAAAGTTGCACTAATAGGTTCCAGTAGTGCCTCCACAGACATTGCCATGCACCAATCCAAGAGGCAGAGCAACAGAGATACTATTAACTAAAAAGGAAAACATATAATGCAGTGCAGTGCATTAGTTACAATCATAAGTGATGCCATGCAGTTGAAAAGTAGTAACACGTAACCTCAAGCTCACCCGTTTATCTGCATCGACGGATGAGTGTTCTGCACTTGGCAGCAGAAATGCAATAGTAGCCACAAGGATCTGCATTAAAAAGTAATGTGCATTTATACCAGAGCACACAATGTATATATATTTTGTTCATATTTATCATTTTAATTCATATAGAAAGATGGCATGGTTTTCACACCCTCGATCTTCAAAGAAAGCAATTTACCTCAGCAATTTTTTTGGGAAGCTGTGATTCATACTTCTCAAGCAGTTCCATGTGAATAACCAACAGCTTTAGCATGTCACATGCCACTTCAGCAACCACTTTGTTTGAAAACTGGAGATAAACCACAAGACAGTGAAGAAATACACCAAAACTATGTTATACAAGAAATATCTGATCACTACAATCTAACCCTGAGATATCCAATACAAGTACAGTATCTCAAAAGCAACCAATTCAGGGCTGAGGCTGTGCCCAGACTTTGGACCGGGTGATTTTGTCCTTGGTCAGTCTGAGGCATATTGGGGCAGGTGGGGTCGAGGGTTGCTCGCACTACAGGAACTGACAGAGCACAAACAGCTAATTGGATGACTGGTCTGGTGTCAAACTGAATCATTACAGTACCTTGCCAAAAAGTGTTAATTTTTTTTTTTTTTTTTTTTTAAAAAGTTTTACTTGATTAAAATTGATGCATAGCACATCTTAATAATATCCAGTTTTTGGATGATGTCAATTTGTAGATAGCTGGTTTTGAAACACTGTAGAAAAAGTATTAGATTAGGGTTAAGTAAGGTTAAGGTTGCTTCAGGAGGTTTATCAATCAAAAACTAAAAACACTAGACTGACTGTACAATGCAATATCAAAAAGGATGTAATAAAAATACTTTGCATGAATGTTAACCAAAGCACATTAGAAAACCTATCAGACCTATCATTTCATAAAACCTGTCTTAACGAAAAAGCAAGCACCTATCAGCCAGAAGAATAACCTCAAAGAAAATAACTTGACAAATAATCATTGTTAAATATTTGTTATTACTGATGCCCAGGTGCTGGCCATGACTTTCATGTCATACTCAAGGTTACTACACTTCTGTGTCTATCTTCAGGTATCAATTCCTATTATATTTTCAGCTTCACAGAATACTGTAGCTTCAAATCAAACAGAATTCTTTGTCTGCATATCAGCAATTTAAGTAATGTGCGAAGAGAATCCAATTTTCAACTGTAATAGTTTGAGATCTGTTTACTGCCCAAATGGACACTCTCTCAAGGAGGCCCATGGGGGAGTCCCAGGCCAGGCCAGCATGGGGGGGTGCGGTGAGACCAGCCAAGTCCCGGAGGCGAGTTCCAGGCCAGGCTGGTGAGTCGTGGAGGTGAGGACGTGGAGGACGAGAAGCGAGGCCTCGAGATTTGAAGCCCAGCATTTTCTAGAGACTTAGCCTAGGCGGTCTGAAGGCTGGCACAGTTTTGGCAAAAAGATTAAAATTCAAGTGCTTTTTAAAATGCAAACTTCTTTATTCTTACGCTGGACTTTTATTTATGATTCTCTCAAGTCTGTAACACATACTTAAGTAATCTATACCTCGGTACACCGTACCTAAGATGACAAAGTGGTAACATAACAAACCTCTTGGACACAGTAAGGACTGCAGGTGATGGAAGGTAGAGACAACAAATGTTGAGCTAGAAAAGCACAGCAGGTCAGACAGCATCCAAGGAGCAGGAAAGTCAGTGTTTTGGGCCGAAACCTGAAGAAGGGTTTCGGCCTAAAACACTGACTTTCTTGCTCCTCGGACGCTGTCTGACCGACTGTGCTTTTCCAACTTCACATTTATTGACATTACAAACCTCTCACTGCACTCATTCGAGCACACGTGACATTAAAATCTAATTCAATTCAATGAATAGAAGTTACACCTTCATTACAATGAAATTCAGCATTATATGAATATAAACATAATAAAGCTTAATTTTTAATAACGTAGATATTTGCTTCCTGTTGAGTAGCTTAAATACAAGAAAAAAATTTCTTGTTTTAATTAACTCAGCTTTTATGGTTTACAAGTGCAGAAAAATATGCCTAGTTACATTATTTCTTGATGCCCAACACACTAATGTTCTAAATAACATTAAGAACACCAACTTCGTGTAACACTTCAGTTGCCTCAAGAAAGAGGTACCAACTGATTACAATATGGATTAGTAAGAAGTGTGGAGTTATGGTAGAAGATCAGTTATGATTTTAAAGAACAGCAAAGCAGACACAAAAGATCATATACTTTGCACTTTCTCAAATTTCCTCCATTCTTACAACAATTTTATATCAACAAAACCTTGCATTCGTATATCAACAAGGCTGAAATGTGAAAACTACCCCAAACTACCATCCTCAACCCCTTCATTGGTCTGACCAGACTTCCACCCCTCTGACCGGACTCAACTCACTTGGACTAGGTTCCTCCAGTTTCCCCTGCTCTGGGCCATAGACATTTTAATTGTCTTCAACCGGCCTTTAATAACAAATGTTAACAAATGAATTTTTAAAAATAAACCAATGGAAACCCTGTATTTGCCATTGCAGAAATGAGAGAAAAATTTAAAGCTGACTTAAAAGCTTTCTTATTTTCTCTCATGATTTCCAACTCTCTTTTTAGTTTTTTGCTAGCTTGATTCAAACAGCAACAGCAGTAGAGAATGACATTAATGCAAAAAAGAAACCCAAAGGGCTTCACAAATGTACTATTGGACAAAATCAGCCAAAGAACAATATACATGAAGGAGTGATCAAAAGGTTTATGAAACAGGTCAGGTTTAAGGGAAAGGGGAGGTTGAGCTGTGAATGGGCTTCTGGGAAAGAACCCCCAATACCACTGCATCATTGAAGAAGTGAACGTTTGAGGATTCAGAAGAGGCAACAGTTTTGGGAAGGGCATTCTGACCAGTCATCCAGAGCTTCAAACATCACCTTGGTTTCACCCTCTGCAAATGCCACCAGATGTGAATTTCTCCAGCACATTCCATTTCTATTATGTGTATATGTTCTGTGTGTGCATGCGCGTGATGGGCAAGGCCTTGAAGGAATTTACTGGCTCAGAGAGGGGTCGATTTTAACTTGAAGATAATGAAAATTATTGTAGGTCAGAAAGAAAACTATTTATCTGGATTTAATGCAAGATAGAATACAGATGACAAAGATTTGAAGGAGCTGAAACTTAATGGGCAAGACATGACAGTGTAGCATTAGTGGCAGAGGTGCAAGGCAATAACCTTACTGTTCCCCATGTTGTTATGGAGGAATCCTCTCAACCATACAGCATGGAGGCAATAAATGGTAAGGACAGTTCATAGAGAAGTAGAGTGCAAGTGGATGTCAACATTATATATAAAAGTTTATATCCATCCCTTTAGATATCATTGGCAAAGAACACCAACGGATAGGTCAAGAAATTGCTTAGAGCGGGCGGGGGGCAAGAATAGATCTAGAAACTACAGAAGTAATGGTGTACAAATGAAGAGAGAAGCCGTGGTGAGAAACTCTGGTTACTGTTTGATAGTTAGGACTGGAGCCGAATCTCTCAGTCAGATGGCACAGGACACACAATGGAAGATTATAGCATGAGCAACCATTGCAAGCTGCAGAAGAACTGAGAAGGGAAATTCTATCATGGTTCCAGCCAGAGGATAGGCATTTAGGACACTAAATGCTGTGAAAAATCCAGAAACCTAATTCTATGATTATAAAAATGTTTTAAATTCATTCTTTAGGATGGGTGTCCCCATTCCCAAATCTTCTTGAGACAGTGGTTGTCAGCAATTCTTGAAACACAGTAATTATATGGTGAAAATAATTCAACTGAGCTGATAGGGTGAAACATCTAGTGTTTTGACCCAGTAACAATGAAAGAATAACCACATACATTCATGTTGACATGGCGTGTTAACTAAGAGAGGGAATTGGAGATGATTGCCTTCTCATATGTTTGCTGCCTTTGACCTTGAAGTTGGTAGAAAGTATCAGTTTAGGAAGTGCGATGAGAAATCTTGCTGAGTACTGAAGTGCACCTTGTACACAGGATATATTGCAATTACACTACACTGAAGGTACAGTACAGAGTGAGGGAATGGATGGTTAAGGTGGTATTTTAACATTTCAGTTTAAGTGCTTTGTCTTGGATGGTGTTCATCAGATGAGTGTTATTGTTTTTGCAACATTCAGGAAAGTGGAGATTTCATCTGTGACGTAGAACGAGATTTATGAATGTTTACATTATCGTTTATCATACGTTTGAGTTTTTTTTTGAGTTAAAAACATGTGGGTTTTCTGTGTACCTGAAGGAGTTCTGTAACTATGGTTATTTCTTTTCGAACAATTTTCAGACCTAGCTTCAGAATTAATGGTATTGTGTGCACACTGGAAGGGTTTTAGGCATGCCTGAATAACAGAACTAACTACATGCATGCTGTAGTACTGAGGAATGACAAGCACAAATTTGGGATGTGTCAACAAGTTCAAGTATCTGAGAGGAAAGGAGATTGGGGATCAAGCAGTATGAAAGGGTCAGAAATAACCTCTTTTGTGTTCTTTTTCTTATTTTTATCCTTTAGGCTTATTCAACCGCTCTTAGTGTTACATCTTTAACTTTCCCATTTGCTGAAAACCTGAAAAAAATACATATATCATGCTCTACACAGTCACTGAATTAGGTTCCTTTTTAAAATAAAAAAGAAAAAAAAAATTACAGAAATGGCTTGCAGACACCCTCAGTGAGGATTCAGATTGGTCAATACCTGAACCGTTTCACTTGAATTCCATCTAAAATAGATTCAGTTGGATCTCTAAAACATTCATCTTTTTATTTTTGAAGCAATTTCTTAACATATCAAAATGACTGATCAACAAACATGCTTACAATGCTGTGAAATATAATGACATTGTTTCACAGGAACAGAAACATTTGAAAATGGGCATCGCAAACATTGATTCAAATAACGGTTAAAAAAATTTATTTCCTTAGATCTTTGTTTTCCAATGGTTTCATAGAATCCCTACAGTGTGGAAACAGGCCCTTCTGCCCAACAAGTCCACACCGAACCTCAGAGCATCCCACCCAGACGCATCCCCCTACAACCCACCTAATCTACACTTCCCTAAACACTATGGGCAATTTAGCATGGCCAATCCACCTAACCGGCACATCTTTGGTCTGTGGGAGGAAACCGGAGCACCTGGAGGAAACCCACGCAGACACTGGGAGAATATGCAAACTCCACACAGACAGTCACCCGAGGCTGGAATCGAACCCGGGTCCCTGGCGCTAACCACTGTGCCGCGCCCGTAAAGTGGATTTTTATCTAATTTATGAAACACCATACGTGATCAAGAGAACAGAGAGATGTAGTCTGAGATAACAGTGTGGAGCTGGAGGAGCACAGCATCGGGGGAGCAGGAAAGTTGACGTTTCGGGTCGGGACCCTTCTTCAGAAATGGGGGAGGGGGAAGGGAGCTCTGAAATAAATAGAGAGGTGGTGTGGGACTGGGGAAGGTAGGTGGGATGGTCATAGGTGAGTGCAGGTTGGCAGTGGTGAGAATTGGTCAGTGAGGTGGGAGAAGTGGAGAGGTGGGAGAGAAGATAGACAGGTCGTATCAGGTCAAAGAGGTGGGGACGAGAGGGAGGGTTGGTCATGGGATGAGGCCGGGGGTGGGGAGATTTTGAAACTAGTAAAGTCCACATTGAGACCATGGGGTTGTAGGCTCCCAAGGCGGAATAGGAGGTGCTGCTCCTCCAGTTTCTGGTTGGCGTTATTGTGACACTGGAGGCGGCCCAGGATGGACATGTTGCCCAGGGAGTGGGAGGGGGAGTTGAAATGGTTTGCGACTGGAAGGTGTTGTCGTTTGTCGCGAACAGAGCTCAAGTGCTCCACAAAGCGGTCTCCAAGTCTCCGCTTGGTCTCACCAATGTAGAGGAGGCCACATTGAGAGCAGCGGATACAGTCGACCACATTGGTGGATGTGCAAGTGAACCTCTGTCTGATGTGGAAAGTTTTTTTGGTTCCTTGAATGGAGGTGAGGGGGGAGGTGGAGGGGCAGGTGTAGCACTTCCTGAGGTTGCAGGGAAAGGTGCTGGGGTGATGGGGCTAGTGGGGAGTGTGGAGTGTACGAGGGAGTCATGGAGAGAGCATACTCCACGGATGGCATATAGGGGTGGGGAGGGAAATACCTCTTTGGTTGTGGGGTCAGATTGCAGGTGGCGGAAATGGCGGAGAATGATACATGTTGAATCCGGAGGTTAGTGGGATGATACGTGAGGACTAGGGGGCTTCTGTCTTCGTTTTTGTTGCGGGGAGGGGAGGGGATGTGAGGGCAGAGGTGTGGGAAATGCAAGAGATGCGGTCAAGAGCATTTTTGACCACTGAAGGGGGGACGTTGCGGTCCTTGAAATAAGAGGACTTTTGGGATGTTCGCGAGTGTAATGCCCCATCTTGGGAGCGGACGCGGCGGAGTCGGAAGAATTGGGAGTAAGGCTTCGCATTCTTGCAGGAAGGTGGGTGAGAGGAGGTGTAGTCTAGGTAGCTGTAGGAGTCGGTGGGCTTGAAATAGACATTGGTTTCAAGGCAGTCACCAGAGGTGGTCTGTCTCCATCTCTGGTGACTGCCTCGCAATCGATACCTATTTCACGTTGACAAACGACAAAACCTTCCAGTTGCGAATCATTTCAACTCCCCTTCCCACTCCCTGGGTGACATGTCCATCCTGGGCCTCCTCCAGTGTCACATGACACCACCCAGAAACTGGAGGAGCAGCACCTCATTCCGCCTTGAGAGTCTATAACCCAATGGTCTCAATGTGGACTTTACTAGTTTCAAAATCTCCCCACCCCCGGCCTCATCCCACGACCAACCCTCCCTCTCATCCCCACCTCCCTCACCTGACACAACCTGTCCATCTTCTCTCCCACCTATCCACTCCTCCCACCTCACTAACAAATTCCCACCACTGCCTAACTGCACTCACCTATCACCATCCCACCTACCTTCCCCAGTCCCACCCCTCCTCTCTATTTATTTCAGAGCTTCCTTCCCCCTCCCCCATTTCTGAAGAAGGGTCGCGACCCGAAACGTCAACTTTCCTGCTCCTCTGATACTGCCTGGCCTGCTGTGCTCCTTCAGCTCCACACGGTGTTATCTCTGAATCCAGCATTGGTGGTTCTTACTATCTCTGAGATGTAGTTTGATTTGCTTTTGTTTGTTTATTCTTGTAAGTTAACCCTTAAGTAAGATATTACACCAGACAGAATTGGTTATTACCTTAAGTGTCACCCCTAACACATTCAGTGCATCTTGGACCTGTGTGTGGTTTGTACACTGCACCAGCTCTTCACTAATCCAGATTCCAAGACTACACATCGCTATACATCTAAATCAAAAAGTAGAAACATTTTATCAGATTAGATTGAAACTTGTCTTTTGAATGTATATTCACTTTCTTTTCTCTACTTCAAGTCTTCCTAAGCCACTCACCTCACGTAGCTAAAATAATCTCAACAATTAGAAGATGCATTTAGTCAGTTTGTGCTCTTACATGGCAAAGTACTAAACCTTTACTCAGATCCTGCTTCATATCATCATTATGGAAATTAGAAACTCAGGAATCAGGCAATTAAACATACTTCACATCAATTCAATCCTAATCCATGGGCAGCACAGTGGCTTAGTGGTTAGCACTGCTGCCTCACACCAGTTGGAGTTTGATTCCACCCTTGGGCAACAGACTGATTGGAGTGTGCACATTCTCCGTGTTTGCGTGGGTTTCCTCCCACAGTCGAGGGATGTACAGGTTACGTGAATTGACCATGCTAAAATACACACAGTGTCCAGGAACGTGCAGGCTAGTTGGATTATAGGAAATGTAGGGTTATAGGGATAGGATAGGGAGGTGGGATGCTCTTCGGAGGGTTGGTGTGGACTCCATGGGCTGAATGGCCAGCTCCCACAAAGTAGGAATTCTATTATTCTAATCAATCCTTCAGCATGGCTCAAAATGAATGTCGTGCTAATGCAGTGCTGTCAACTATTTCGAGCATGTGCTGCATGAACCTAATTGAGAATCCATGTGTGGTCAATATTTTGTTTACCATTAGGAAATGCAATGTTCTTGGACATGTGATCTCAATTCTCATTTTTGCATCATATATGTGCACTTTAATCTTATTTGTATTTTTGTTCATCAACTAGTGTGACAAAAGCAAAATTAGTGTTCCTTTTTAATATCATGCGGAGTGCTTTACACTTTGATGCTCAAACATGTAGAAAACAAGTGTATTGTCTGTATGCACATCAAATTAGGGAGTATATGAGGGCTTTAAAAAGCATAAAAGATTCATGTAAATGGTTCCGGGGATGAGGTTCCTTAGGTTACATAGACAGATTGGAGATGATGGCACAGCAGTCCTTGGAGGAGAAGGGAATATTGAGAGCAGATTTGATGGACATTTTCAAAATCATGAGGGGTCTGGATGAAGCAGACAGGGAAAAACTGTTTCCATTACTGGAAGGTATAAAAACTAGAGGGTACGGTCTTAAAGGTAATTGGCAAAAGAAACAAAGGTGACATACAAGGAACAATAATTTTTGCCCTCCGTGTTTAGGATCTAAAACACACTGCCCGAGGCTGTTGAGAACAGGTTCGGTTCAGCCATTCAAAACAGAAATGGATTACTATCTGGGGGGGAAAAAAAGAACGTGCAGGGGAGAAGGCAGTGAAGTGGCACTGGGTGAATTGTTTTTAAACACAGAATTAGCATAGACACGAGCGGTTCAAATGTCCTCCTCCTGTGCAATATTCATTCTAGGATTCTGGATTATATGAACCCAGTAAGAGTTTTTCTATTAAAATGTCCACATGGGGTTAAAGTAATTTTATAACCATAACTATGACTTCACAACAATTTCTACTGAATAAAACCATGCAAGCGCATTTCTTATCCATTAGGGTATCTTAATTCACTGTTATAAAAGATGGCAATTGGAAAAAGTTACAGAATTTTCATGACAAACCTAAATCAGAAATTTAACAGCTGTTGTAAAATGTCTTTATTACTCTCAGAATTTGCAAAATGACACTAAGGCCATAAACTTTACCAAGAACTAATACTAAACTCAAGCAAGGCTTCAGTGAAACAAATACTCCATGATATTTCTTATTTCCACTTTGTATAAAGATATCGAAGTTTTTAAAAAATACTTACCGTGCAGTCTCACAGGTTTCATTCCTTGCATTTTTTATCAGAATATTTATCAAGTAATCCTAAAATTGATCAGAGTACAATATTTTAGAATAACACTTTTGGATTATTTTATATGCAGGTACAAAAATATTGTACTTAAAACTCCATTTGAAGATTAGTCAGTCTTTTTTAAGAACACAATGGCCCTTTGTCAAAAAACAAGCAAAAAATGGGGGAGTAAAATAAAATGCATATTTTTAAAATTAGAAACAAATATAGTATATTGACAGTCTGGTCCATTTGCAGACATCAGCGGTTAGCATTCTTGCCAAAAGGTAAATACGCAGGGAATGAGACTCAGAAAATAGTCAATTTAAGGAAAAGTGCTTTGAAGGAAGCAATTGACATTAAGCAGGCAAATGTCCAAAGAACAGATGCCTACTTAAAAGCACATAACTGAAGGCAATTATTTGACAGATCAAATCACTTAAAACTGTAAAGTGCATTAATGACCACAAACTTGATTAAAATCTCATGATGAAAATCATATTTCTAAAGTAACAATTTCATTTCAAAGTTACTTCCCCCATTTCTTTCATAAACCTTTGCAATGTGAAGTTAATGGGAATCCTGAGGACACTAACATTGACAGTTCAATAGTTTTTCAAATTAAAATGTCAGTAATAAAACATTGTGCACCTTACCACCTGGGCACATCAATATAAAACACCCATAAAAACATTAAACAAAATAAAAGCACAGTAGCATCAGTGGATTGAACCATTGTACAGGGTTCCACTTACTTTCTTAAATTCAAGGTTAGACATTATCCCAAGATATGAATTTAAGAATTAAAAAATTCAAAAGTGTCAGCTGATTTCAGAACCTACTGTGTACAATTTGAGCCAACAGCATTATATTGGGCAGCGTGGCAGCTCAGTGGTTAGCACTGGGTGCCTCACAGCACCCAGGGACCTGGGTTCAATTCCACCTTTGAGTGAATATCTGTATGGAATTTGCATGTTCTCCCCGTGTCTGCATGGGTTTCCTCCAGGTTTCCTCCCATGGTCCAAAGATGTGTAGGTTAGGTGAAATGGTCATGCTAAATTGCCCCATGCAATGCAGGAGAGTTACAGGGGGTCACCAGTTTAGGTGGGTTATCTATGGTAAATGCAGGGTTATAAGGATAGCGTGGGGCAAGGTGGAATGCTCTTGGGAGGGCTGGTGCAGACTCGACAGGCTGAATGTTCTCAATCTGTACTGTAGGAATTCTATAATTCATATGCAACCTCGCAAAGCAAAGCTGAAGGCTGCTCATATAAACGCTTCAATACATTTTTCTGTAAGATACTGGAGGGAGGAGAATTGTCTGAAAATACCTATGATCAAGAGGGTTTCACCTAAACTGAACAAGGGAAATCTCCTTCCAACTGTAAGCATTCAGCATTTGGAGAAAGCTCTTAGTTCTATTGATGAGTCTTTGGAATTCAGGACTACCTCTCATTAAACATTGTCAATGCGAAAACTGAAAATATTCTCTCATTCTGGGGACCTTTGATATAGTTCACTTAATTTTCTTCAACACCTCTCTTCCATTGTTACATTTAGTGGAACAGGTCAATTTGTTTTCTTTATTTCTGGCCTCACTCTTATCACTGTATCTCTAACAATGTCTTCATTTCCTACCCCAACATCTTCACTTCAGAAGTCATCCAAGAATCCCTCCCTAACCTTCATCATTAATATATATCCCCATGACAGGATTGTCAATAAACACAGAATTAGCTTCCAACGTATTGCAATCCCACCTAGCTTTATCTCTGGATCGTTATTTTCGATCTTTCTACTGCTTGCTGGATCTCAGATTGCTTATCCAACATCCAGTCTTAAATGAGCTGCAGTTCCCTCGAGCTTAATATTACAAAGGCCTAAACAAAAATCATTAGCACTCCCAAAAATTCAATCCCTTTGTCGCTCTCTCCCTGGCACAGTCTTGGCTGAAACAGAATATTAGTAAACATTGCATCCTATTCCACCCTATGCAAAGTTTAAGAGGTCATTTTCTTTCAATCATAGAAAGGCTGCTTGCTACCACTTCCATTTCCCTGCCTCAAAAGTTTAAAATTATTATTAGATTTAAATTTCTCCATTACCTTGATTCCTTAATGTCTCACGGAGGAAGAAAGCACTAGCGCTAGTTATATCTCCTACTTGCCAATGAGGAAGAAGCTGGAGAGATTGGAAGATTGAAAGATTGGAGAGAGGAATGTCCAAATGTGTTGGAATTGTGTCAGGGCTGAGGACTTCAAACAAGACTTCGCTCAGCAACAACACCCACCACTGTCATTAGACAGAGACCCATCCCTTCTCAACAGATATTATACAGGTTTAAAAGGACAATAGCGAACGAGATGAGTTTTTACAACAATCGACAGTGGTTAAATTAGGCTAGGTCACAATTAGGCGAGGTATTGTTCCAGATTTTTATTGGATTCAATTTTCACCATGTGCCATGGTGGGATTCAAACTCATGTCACCAGAACATTAGCCTGGGGCTTCATGATTACTAGTTCAGTGTCATTTCCATTATGCCACCTCTTTCGCAAAGATGTCTTCACCAAGTTTACACATTGCCACCTATGACTAAAAAGCCTTGACTGTTGTCAGAGCGTTAATACATGGTAGGTTGTGCTCCATGTTGGATTAACAGGGTGCAACTTCAAAAGCAAGACCCTACAGGAGATTTTCAAAGTACATGCCATTGACAAGAGCAGCACTACCCGCCATCAACCAGAAGATCAAAGACAGTGCAAATGATTCAACCACACTCTACATAACTGCTTGCATACCTTGCCTCCTGAGTGTAAATGGAAGTGACCAAGTACCTTCAAAAGTTGGTTTAGGTTTAAAATAGCACTCTGCCCTCGGCCACAAGCTTTCCTCCAACTCTTTTTTGGACAAGGCCCACTCCTTCTTCTGGACAATATACTTGGAGTCATCATGGCCTCTGATGTTGGGGATGGTAAGATCGATGAGTACATATACATGAGGCTAGGTCAGGTATTCGAGATGGTGTCCAACAGGACAGAGAGAGATCTGAACATAAAAAACACTGGATGATTGCAAGGCTGACAGAACTGAACCTCCAGTTGGCACAAGGGCACGCTATCACAACCGGAAATATCAGGGATTAGAATAAGATAAAGAATATCAGGAAGCCCGAACTGCACGGTCATCAAGTGGCTGATATAAATGGCCACACCTGTATTGTGGAATTGATAGCTGGAGGGCAACCTTCAGAAAACTGTTCACACAGAGGAATAGTTTGAGGTCAGAAGTTTAGGAGATGATATGGAGGCAATCAGCAGTATCACAGAAACTGAACTGTTGGTGTGTCATGGATCAAGTGAAATGGAATTTAGTAGTGATGAGGAATTCTGGAGTGGCCTGTATGTTGCAAATTCACGTGGTATATCCAACGTGGGGATGCTGACTCCCATTCTAGAATGCGAGGGATGATCCACCAAAGACAGAACCCGAAATAACTGATTCAACTTCTGAAGGTCTGACTGACTTGGACCCCAATGTGGGTGATCTGTAATAGTGCCTGAATTCTTTGGAAGGTACCAGTACAATTAACAGTCTGAGAAGATCCTCTTAAGCAACTGCTGAATGACACTTCAACCCTTACAATTAGCCGAGGTCAGTGATTCAAGAAGAGAATGCTGACAACTCCGTGCAGACATGAACATTTCAGTTGTCGTGGCAAAGTTGAACTTATTAATCATACAATTGTTTCACAAATGATCACTGTGCGCTATGTGGAGTTGCATGGAAAGCAAGTCTCGAGCAGAAAAGTACCTAATGGAACCTCTAGCTACAGGTGGTGATGGTCAGGAAGCACTTATAGCAGGGCAGCTGGAGCAATTGAATGGACTCTCCCTGGAGAAAATGGTGTTTATGGGGACCAAATCCTGATGGGGAGAAGGATCAGACAATGAATTTCCTCAAACAGATATGAGCCGTAGGCTTGATTCCATGTAAATACTGTCTTCCATTATTAACCTCAACTTCCCTCCATGTTGTAATGGCCTGATGCCAGTGGAATAAATAATCCCTGCTTCATAGTCTTTGGGCTGTGTGCTAAAATTTCATGTTACAATAATCTTTTGAGCTGCTCTAAAGAAGTTCTAATAGCAAGCACTGCAATGAAAGCCAGCTACACCCCCAAATTAAGTATCTTTGTTATTTAAAGATTAGTTGAGCTTACACGAAGTATGCTAGCTTCCTGGCCTTCTAGGAGCTGTGAAAATTAACTGGTCTGTCTGGGCACAAATATATAATCTGGCAAATGTTGAAGGTTTTGAATTAAAAGGAAAAAGACAAAAAACTGTTTATTGCACTTCAAAATAATAGTAAATGATTCTCTACATTTTTCTCAGATTATTTTCATTTATTTAAAATTCATTATTCACAGGTGTACTAGGCACTGATAAAAATGCTTTTTCTTTGTGATAAACCCACTTTCAGGTGCAAAAAATTCAAGTATAGCATTGGACCACTGAAAAATATAAAGGAGTGCTTTTTTGACACGTTACAATGGAAAGTGCCATCTGACCACAAGGGCTGAAAGCAGATTGTGTGTCCGGCAGATGAGTTTGAGGAAAAGAAACGCTTTTCAAAACTAACATTATCTTGTGTAGAATTTGTGCCTGAGTTGCCAACTGCATTCAAAGAAGAGAAACAATTCCCATTATGTCAAAAGCTCATTGCCATGTTCATACAGGGAACAGGTTAATTGTTTGCAAAACATACAAGCCATTTTTCTGGAACCTTCCTTGCTGAGGCCAGGCAGCTAGATAACAAAGTGATGTAATACAGTGTATATGAAACAAATATACTTCTGCCTTTAATAGTTACATTGAAGTCAGCAACATATCTATGAAAGCAGCTAGACTCTTATGCGTGCTCAATATGCATATTGTTAAAATGTACTTAATTTCTTCTTTTTGAAAAGCTGCATTGCTCATGTTATTTGCCTCCTGTGAAAGAATAGTTCATCTTGAAATGTACAGTTTAC